TGAGGTTTTAATCCTTGCGTGCTTGGTAGCGGAAACACCATGGAAATTGAGCTTTATTGTGGCTTTGCTCAGGGTTTCGAAAGAAACCGAAGCCTTTCTCAGCTGGCTCTTCCCCCTTTACTTGGTGCTTCTGCAGAATTGCCCTCTGCAAAACTGCTGAGCAGGCTGTGTCGTGCGACCCGATTTCTTACCGTTGAATGCTCTTGAGGAAAATAAATCGTCTTGGAATAAGGCAAAAAATATCCCCAACCCTCTCATGAATAAACATCTCATTAAAGAGCAGAAAGATGGAATAAATGCTCTTTTTTTTTGTGGTGGAGGGAGGTCGTTAATTAAGCCCTGCAAGGATCTGCACAGGGCCTGTGTTGTTCAGTGTATCTAGAGATGATCTAGACAAAAGGACAGCTAAAAAGTTGTTAATGCGAGGAGGAAATGTGAAAAACTACAGGGAGATCTTCACAGGGCTCAGTGAGAGTCGGAATCGTGTATAGGTTAAAAAAAATTGCAAATATATTAAAAAAAAAGGGGGGGGGGGGCTTTGTGCTGGTTATTGCACTTGGGAAGGAGTTTGTGGAGTCAGGTAATTCCATGAAAGTATCAACTCAGCTTTTCAGAGCAGCAAGCAGAAAGGCGAATAAAATGTTCAAAATTATTGAGAAGCAAAGCTGGTAAAAGCCTTTCCTGTGCACATCTGGGGTGTTCCCACGTCTCGGATACTGTGTAAGTTCTGGTCCTCGCCCCTGTCAATAAAAAACAAGAGTAGAAGTAGAAAATGCGGCCAAAACATTACAAGGAACTGAATCTCCACCTCACAAAATTGTTTATTAAGGAGATGGGAGGCGACACAAGTCTATAAAATCCTGGTTTGTGTCTGGGGAAGAGGAGCTAGGAATGCTTCCCTGCGTAGTCATGTTTCTCTTCTGCGAAGGCTTGGGTTTTGATGCAAAGGAAGAAAAAAAAAAAAGTATAAATTGCATTTATTTTCTGCAGTCTGGGTGCCTGCTTGTCCGTGAGCTCTGGGCAACATTTGCAGGTCGAGGTTTGTCGCTCACCGTATGATGTGGTGTTGCTGTGCTCACATGCCTGTGGACTCTGACGGTTCCCCAGGAACAATTTTATTCTAATTAACTTTATAAATGTTTTATGAGAAAAGTTTTTGCCATTTTCCTGTGTGATCTCTAATTAGCATCTTAAACGCTCGAGCTTTGGTTTTTTACAAGGTAACGATCACCTTCTAGAATCCTAATAAATGGCAGTGAGCCTACGGAACAGGAGTGTACTGTAAAATGAGTGGATTCGTTTAATCTATGTGGCGAACAGGAATCTCTCTCTAGTCATGGCTTGGGAAGAGCAGCACTTGTCTAGCAGCAGTGATGCTATTTTTATGCCCTCTTTTGGGATTTGCCTGTTGTCCTTTCTGATTATTTTGTGGAGTAGATCTTCAAGAAACCTTGCCTGGTGTATTTAATGCTCCTCTTTTCTGTCTTTTCAGGTTTCTTCATTGCCAGTGGCTACAGAACCTCCAAAACCCCATCCTAAAAAAGGTTTGTTTGAAGATGTGATTGTGTTTCTTGGGCTGGTTGGTTTTCAACGTTTCTTTATAGTACGTGCAGCCACCTGGTAAGAAGTAAATGTCCACTGGGAAAAGATGAAACTATCCAGACTGTACCCTGCTGAGCACACCTCCTTTTTTCTATGATCTGTACGATCACTAGCTCAGTGCCGTTGCTGGCTGACTTATTGTACCTACAGCCTGCAGTGTGTTTGCTTATAATCTACGAGGCTGTTGATTTTATTGTGTACACGCTTGTTGGGCTGCTAATGAGTTTGATGCTCATTTATCTTCTTAAATAGTAAGAGGGGTTTGTTCACTTTAGGTTCTTCAGAATAACATCTTGCTGGAGAAATGAGTTTGGGAAACTAATGTCATGTCATGTTGATAATGCATGAGTGAGATCTAACCAGTTGTGTAACTGGTTTTAACTATAGTTTGTTTGGTTTTGGGTTGGGGTTTTTTTTCATACTGAAAATGAGAATTATGTAACTAAGTCTGAGTTGTTTTTTTTGAAATCTTGGTTGACTCTGAACTGGAACGGGAACAATTTCAGTTATCAGTTCAAAATGTTTGACTAAAACCCGATGTTTTGTAAGGGGTCCAGTAAAGCCTACAGCACAGTTTGATGTTTCCCCTCTTCCCTCGTTCTTGCAACGTGACTTGTCCCAGCGCACGCGATGAGCGTTTCTTTCTCTGCAGTGCTGATCTGTGCTCATGTTCCTAGTATGGATCTGTTCGCTATAGAAACTTTCGCGCCTACCTAAGGTCAGGTTTGGGTTGGGGTTTTTTGTGGATTTTCCTTCCTCAGGTGTCCAGAGGACCCCATAAATTCAGATTTATAATTAAGAGTGAACTCTGGGGCGCTGCTAGAACCCCAATATACTTACAGTGCCAGTCAGCAGCAGTCCTCCTTTTCCCTTACCTTTTAATTCTGGGAAGCTCACTTGGGGAACACTGTACTTTGGCTGTTTGTTACCCTGAATGTGTGATGTGCCCATCAGAGTACACTTTGGGAGGAAACCTCCCATTATTTCTGAACTACTTATGATGGAGGCTGCCTTGGTGTTAACTCTGGCATTAAAAAGGAGCTTGTTTGGCAACCGGGTACTACCGTTGTAGTTTCTGCCTAAAGGTGAAGTTCTTCACCTTACGTGTAGGTCCTCGGAAGCTGGAAAGCCACTTTGCTTTTGTTTTGGGGAGGTCACGCTAACATCACAGGTAGTCCGAATTCCTGGCAGCAGAATTCCAGCACCTGAGCAGAATACGGCTGTCCTGGAGACAGTGCTTGACATTTCAAGTAGACCTACAGCTGTTGGCTTGCACAAGTTCAAGCCTCTTTTGTACGTTGCTGAGAGGAGCTGAAGAGGAAGCTATTGTTACTGCTTCAGGCCTGTATGCAAGGAAAAATAAAACCAAAATTTACTTTTAGCTGGACTGTCAGCTCTTTCAGAGCAAGGATTGCTGCTAATTTGAACCAATGAGCACGGCTTCTGTGGAGGTGCTGGTTCCCTCCTTAGCGAGATGGTTTGTCTCCATCCTTTTCTATAAAGATTATGACTCTATAATCTATATAATTCTATAAAGATTATGACTATAAAGATTATGATCTCCTCATCCTTGGTAACCCCCACCTTGTTCTGCCTCGTCGTGCAAGTCCCATCTGTGACATTTGCACTGACTTGGTGGGCTGGGAGGCTGTGCCTTCTGTCTGTTTTTACAGGAACAGCGTACGCTTGCTGTTCTCTAAATAAACTATCTGTAAAGGGATCGGGCTGATGGTGTTTGCCCAGAGATGGACTCTCGCTCTGGTGCTCTTTCCTGGCGGGCTGAGGTCTATTAAATCAACTCTGCATAATTCATCAGCGAACGGAATAGCTGAAAAAGAAAGATGGGGCCATCAGCCTTACAAACGAGCCACGGAGGTGTGCTGTATAGAAGCTGTCATGCCTCTGTCAGCTTGCTTGTTAAACTGTCCGTCAAGTGCCCTCCTGCTTTTAAGTGTGCGCAATTTAATATTGATTGTTTGGGAGGATGAGCTGCGGTAGCTGTAACTTTCTTAATGGGACTCCTTCTCCAGATCCTGCCTCCTGATTGATAAAGGGCTGCTTGCTCGTGGCCGCCCAGAGGGAATTTTCTCTCCTACTCGGCATTTTGCATTAACAGCCCTCAAACAGAGCTGGATGCTTCTTTAAAAAGGGCCACCAACACTCCTTCAGGTTTTAAGGCTGCAAGTCCAAGGCTGGGGAAAGGCGGTGCAGAAGAATTGGTCTGTCTCCGTCACCAGCCAATGTTCCTTCCACCTCCTTCGCTTGGCATTGGTGTTTGCGCAGCTGCGTGCTGGAGGGGAGAAAGTAGTAAATTAAATCCAGTTATTCATGGCTCTGGATCTCCCTTTTGATATGAACCTTGACTCAGAATTAACTATGGTGAAGTCAAAAAAAAAAACCAACAAAAAAACCTAGCCCTTGACTTTTGTAATTCTGGTTTGTGTCTCTCGAGGTAAATTGAGGCATCTCTGGTACCTGCCATACTTCAGGTAGTTCTGAAATGAAATTCATTGGAAGCCTTTGTGCTTTCCCATTTGATATTTGACTGCATTGCCTTTAGTGCAGTGGGCAAAAGCTGCTTTGAGCTGCCTGATTGTTAATCCCTAGGAAATGAGGGCAGCAAAAAGATTTGTTATAGGGAGTGATATAACAGTGCCCTTTGTGTATGGGTGTGACACTGGGGGCACGTAAGAGAGGAGGGGAAAGAATGAAGGTGATGTTGGCAATGCTTTTGTGGAGTTTGGCAGGAAATAATAGGTTCTTTTTCCCATGACAGGTTTTGTTGGTTTTTTTTTTAAAATAAGATTTTTCTAGAATGTCTTAATGAAGACTCTCATCTTGTTTTAGTTTGGCCGAGGATAATTATGGTGAACTTTAAGGAGCCAGGCAAATCTACATTGGTTCTCTTTTAACAGAAGAGTGCTGCTAAACTTATTTCAAACTGACATTTTTAAAGACTGAATGGTACCTTTCTGTTGCAGCAATTTTGCCTTTTAATATTTGCCTTGTATTTTCAAGCAGGATGCAAGAGAACTACTGAAAGCAACATTAGTGGAAGAGCGTAGGCCCCTCTCCTATCAACAGTTTGGTGTGGATCAAATCTGTGAGCCCAAATACAGTGTGTGTTGTAATAACTAAAGAAAATGTTGTATGCAAATGTAGTAGAGTATGACCAAGTCATCGCTGAAGTCCTAACTTCAATGGCAACAGTGCCTGGATTCAGGTTGTAACAGCTGGCCTGTGTGCGTACTGGGTAGGAGTAAGGTATTATAGAATCACAGAATATTTTGGGTTGGAAGGGACCTTTAGAGGTCACCCAGTCCAACCCCCCTGCAGGGAGCAGGGACACCTTTAACCAGATCAGGTTGCTCACAGCTCCGTCGAACCTGGCCTTGAATGTGTCCAGGGATGGGGCCTCCACCACCTCTCTGGGCAACCCCTGCCAGTGTTTAACCACCCTCATTGTG